TTCCTATCACAGCACGTCAAGTACTGAACAAATAATGAGTATCAGGACAACATGTTCACATCAAAAATGATCGAGTACCCGAATTAGACAAATTTTGAAGTCATTGAGTACCAAGGTACCACTGTACTTTATCAACTATTCTGTGAATTATGAAGTCAGGTGACTTCTTGGGATAAACAAAACTCATACTGGCCACTTTAAATTAGTGCAATATGTCTCCTCTCCTTTGTTCTTTGGGTACTGTCCTCCATGGGCAATCTGTTTTGAGCAACAAGACAAGTCTGGTTCTTTCTAAATCTCCAACTTGGAGATCTGGATCAGATTGAACAACAGCTCAACAGCAGCGGTGGCAGTATGGGAAGGGAAAGCATGAGGTGATGCAGGTGGAAATAAGAGATGGAAATCTGGCTATCATTCTGCCATTTCATAGAACCTTGCTAAATCTTGCCAAATCTGCCAACTGTTCTTTGAGCTGCTTTGGAACATGGGCTTTAGGGCTCTTCTGGAGTAGTGCTAAGCACATGTTCAGCTTTTTAGTTCTCTTGTGGAAGAGTACTCAATGTTTTTCCCCAAAATCCTTATCATCAGCTGATACATGAATTTTGACAAGGGGCTAAGCCTGTGTATACTTCCATCTATTAAAATGTCCTCCTCCCCTGCCCTATTCCATTGTAAGGCAAGTGATTGGTACACGTTTTGTCACCGATGGTGTTTTATGAGAAGGAAACAAAGTAATCCTTGTCCTTAACACACCCTGTACACCATAAAGAAGAGTGACACCATTTGTGGGCATTATGTGGAGCACCATGGTGTCACCATATTTTATATACCAACATTGTTATCTGCTGGCTCAAAGACAAATGGTTTAACTTAATCATAAAGAAGGCCTCTAAATCAGTGATTTACTTGTATGCTGATTTACTTCACTACAAATGCTATCATAAAATGCCAGTAATTATAAACACAAGCCTCTCAAAATCAGTGGCAGATGGAACGGCATAAAAGTCTAATAAAATAATGAAAAAAGATATCCTAAGAATAAATAATTCTTAAAATAATCTCCAGTTTTATTGCTATAAATGCTGCACCATGTCTCTATCTCCATTTTTCAGCTATTAAAGGCACAGTAGTACTAAGTGTTAATGTTTTAACCATTGGCCTAACAAAATTAAAATAAACTTAACTTCAAGTAACTTTCAGGCAGTTTTTTCAACATTTTTTCAGAAGTGGCTTCCTACAGCCTCCTGGTAAGCTATATTTCATTTCTCAATCTATGTTACAGTACTGGACCTGTGACCCAGCTAACAGATTTATAAGTGACCAGAAAAAGAATCAAATACAAAACATTAAATATAATGATTAAATCGCTGAGTTTACTAAGCCAATCCAGAAAGCATAACAATCATTTTTATTAGTCTACTTTCCTCACCTCACACACCCACCAACTCAATTCTTGACAATAACCTTGACAATAAGTTGGCAATAAATACAATTTTTTGAGCAAATCTAACCAAAGAAGCAGGCAGAAAATGTATTGGTTGGATGGATCAACCTTGTTTGCCTTTTAGGATAAAGGGTAAATATTTTATACCGGCTCTTGAAAGCATTGGACAATATTTATTTCCAAAAAGAGAGAAAGACATATAGTCTATATTTCTCTTAGTTTATGGCACAAGCAAAACATATAAGGAATTTCCAGTAATAGCACTCAAGTACTGCTATCAAGGCATGTGCTATTGGGGTCTGATTGAAGGTATTAGTTATCAACTTTAAATCCCTTCACCTAATGGAACCAGGTTATCTATGGAACCATGTCACTCCAATGGGATTGTCGTCGTCATCCCCTTGCAGCAGCAGAAGAGCCCTGCGGTGGACCCACTGGTCAAAGAGTTTTGGCTGTTGGAGTCTAGGAAGAGAACCTTTTCTGCCATTGGCCCTTGTCTCTGGAATATCTTGCTTCCTGAGGTGAGGTCTGCTCCCAGACTTCAGGCCTTCCAGACGGGTATTAAAGCTTCACTCTGCAAGATGGCTTGAGATCCTGACAAGGGTAGTCTATGTTGAGGGTGTTTGGTGGACTATGTAATACTGAAGATGTCACCTTCCATCCTTGCCTTTAGTTTTTTAGTTTTGTATTTATTGTTGCTAATATTTTAATATTTATGATTTTAATTTTAAGCCACTCAGAGTTGCTTTGCAGAGTGAGGTGGGCAGCCTATACATTTAATAAATAAATAAATGTGCTATATCTTTAACTGTATCATGAGATGGTTGCTGAAAAACAAAGTAGTCTGCTTCAAATAATTTTCAGATTCAAAAGCATTTATCATAATAGAGTACTATGGAGCTGTATTTTTATTGGACACCATAACAGGTCAAGATGGATGGCTACATTATGCACATTAGTTTCTATTTGTCTTGACATAAAACTTTTTAAAATGGACAAAAACTTTAATTTAAAAAAAAAACTAATGGAATAATCCAAAAGTAGGGATAAAGTAATACTTCTCATTTTACATATTTTAATTGAAAATAAGGATGTGTGTGGAAGCTAGAAATAAGGAGTTGAATAAAAACAATATAATTTACCCCCCAAAAAAGTAGCGACTATAATGGTATAGCCTTGTTTAACTTCAAGTGGCATTAAAATTTCATTAGCATGTAATAATTTGCATATAACATTTTTATCCAAAACAGATCAAAAGAAGCCAGTCAGTATTGAAGATGGCGAACTTAATCCAAAGCCTAGTCCTAGCCAACAAGTTAAATGCAGGGAAGAAGGAGAGGTCAGCTAAAGCAATTGTGTAATATTTCATATCCTGTTCTAAAACCATCTTGTTCTCTCCAAATATTGTTTGAGGCACCTAGCCAACTTTTTCTGGGCTTGAAAGGTGAACTGAGTCAATCCTGGTTATTACTTGGCTAGGACACCAGTAGAGAATTCCAGCTAGCCGGCTAAACTATAAAGCAAAAAGGCATCCTAAAACAAGGAAATGGCCAGCCACTTCTACACTGTTGCCATGAAAATAATATGTTGTTCAAGGAGTGACTAAGATTTAATACATTGTTTAATTCTCCAATTTATTCAATTAATACTTTTATTTATTTTATTTTATTATTAAATGTATGCTGCCCATTTCGCCACAGGTGACTGTTTTGAGGCCAATTTAGTAAATATATTTACAAAACTGTAATTAGGTTGACAAATATAATCTTTCTTGAAAACAGGGGCAATGGTATTTAGGAAGTGAATTGTGTGTGTTGATAATTGTTAAGGTAGCTAGTGTTTCAGTGTGTTAGGGACAGATGTTGCATCTGGATTTTACAAGTTTTAAAATGCGGGTACAACATGAATGTTTGTGGATTCCTATTTTCCTTCTTAATATTCTGATCATGTTGATTTCAGGACTTTGGAGAGCTATAAAGGCATTTCTTTGTACTTTTCTCTGTAGCTTTCACTTGATGAAGGAGATCTGCAGAAGCTGCATATTGCTGATCTTTGAACGCACTCAAGAAAGTTTGACTGCATTTCCTTTTTAGGCAACATCAGATAATTTATTGTATCTATTCTAAGGTATAATATTCTATGGCTTCTTGGTATTATAATAAACGAGGGAGGGAGGGAGGGAGGGAGGGAGGGAGGGAGGGAGGGAAGGAAGGAAGGAAGGAAGGAAGGAAGGAAGGAAGGAAGGAAGGAAGGAAGGAAGGAAGGAAGGAAGGAAGGAAGACTTTTGGCCAATTCTGATTTATCTCATAGGGTACCTCAATATTAGAAGTTCCAAATTGTCCTCTTCTTCCTGGCAATGAATGGAAAAGCAACAATGGAAGTGGAATTTCCACACTCTTCAGAATCTACATTTGCTGTTAAAAGTGTTGAAAAACATGCAAAAGAATAAGTTTACAAATAACATCTGTTATTTATATACTGAATTTAATTTCCTAATAAATTGCATGACCAAAACTTTGGGAGAAACTGTGATTAGTGAACTTTCTCTTTCAAAAACATTAGCTGGTAAGTGTCATTGATGGCCAAGAAACCCCTACCCAAGTGACACAGCAGCATCTTGGCTTTTTTGCAAATTAATTTTCCTCCAATCCCAATGGCAAAATTGGAAAAGAATGGTCTACTGATCACATTTTGTGGGGTGATTCAGACAATGGAAAGAGTATTTGGGGACAGTCTGTAAAACCAATCAAACAAAAAATTCAACAGCTACATTAGTCAGACAGTTTTGTGAATTGTTTGCCATTTGAAATTAAGAGATTGAAATGACTTTGCAATCTTCAGTTGACACACGGGGGTCTCCCTTTGAGCTTTTATCTCTGGCAGCAACAATGATAACTGAAAAGTAAACCTGAAGATGTCTAAAATATTTCTCTCTCTCTTTCGTTCTCTCTCTCTCTCTCTCTCTCTCTCTCTCTCTCTCTCTCTCTCTCTCACACACACACACACACACACACACACACACACACAAATTAACTATAGCGTGTCTGGTATATCACCTTTGCATGACAGAAGATAGAAATGTACATTAGATGATTTTAAAACAATTGGTTGGAATTAGTTAATAAACTCTGGTGTTGGGGTACAATAAAGGAAGGACCTCGGTTTACTCTGATTCACTAAAATGTTACCGATTCCTTCTCTTTTCTGATAACAGTCTGGTGCTATTAGCAACTGATTCAGTGTTGAAGGATATCTGGGAATGTGCTTATATGTGGCCTGTCTCCTGACTAGGGAAATCACATTGCCAGAACTGTAAATAATGCAGAAGTCTCACTAATAGTTAGCAATAAGATAAGCTTCACCCTGACATTTCCCCCTCCCCTCCTCCCAAAACTAAATGGGATTCTTGGTGAGACAGAAGTCTCTGGGTTTTCAAAGGTTCCTGGCTTAGTTAAAATGAAACAAATTGCTTTTCCAGTTACTTCTCTCCAGAGGATGAAAGAGGCTGAAACTGAAGAAATATGAGTCTAAGGAGATTGTATGCTCAAATATCTATCTACCGATCTATCTAAATGTATGTCATTTAAATGGATGGCCTTTTAAAACAGAATCTTACATGCTAAAGAGATTCATTCATGTATATATGAATATATTGATATACTGCATATCTGTATCAAGACATTTATGAGTTCATTACAGACACAGAAGGAAAATAATAGAGTTGTTTTGACAGATGTCCCATGAGATGTCCTTTCATTCTGATTTTTCTTAACTGCCAGTATGTTCCACTGAGGGTGTCCTTGTATAATGAAGATCTGAGGGATAGAATATTTGGTGGTTTGCTACTGTAGTGACAGATATGACAGAAGAGTGACTGAACAGCATCATTGGTTGCTCTATCAACATCCTCAAACAACTTTCCTCACGTAACCATTGTTGAGTTGCCAGTTCTCCAGAATATCAGGATGAAGGAAAGAGAAATTAAGAGATAGAAGAAATCAAATAGATCCTAGTAATACAGGCATAATTTATAGACTTCTGATTTCATTTAAATCCAGACTACAGAAATAATCTTCTCAGACAGCCAGACAGCCACTATGAAAGAACCAGTAGAAAACAGACAGATTTAAATCTTTCTATTATTTTTTTCTCCCTGGCCTTTCTGTCCACCTCATCTACTTCCCAGCTCATGAAAATAAAGTTTTCTCAAAGATGATGCTGGTCACACATGAGTGATTATGACCTTCCAACTTTCCAAGGTCCCTCCCAGTTCTGTTATTCTCCCCTAGTGGTTAAATTTATTAGATTTACCTAGAGGAGATTTGCGTTCAAGACTCTTACAACCATGGAAATTCACTTGGTGTCTTTGACCAATCAATTGTGTTTTCTCATTCCAACCTACCTCACAAATGAAAGGAATTCTCTGTGGAATCCATCTTGAGCTCCTGGAAAAGAGCCAGCATATAAGCCTAAAATGAGGAGGAAGAAGGACAGAAGCTGTGGCTATTTTGTGTTTATTATGTATTTGTTTATTAAATTTGTATGCTGTCCATCTTGCCAAGTGACAACTCTAGGCTGCCTACAACCATTTCTATTTCTAGTGCCACTGAAATTATAGTCATAATAGGAGCAATTGTCACAAGTGGGTTTTGGGAGGGGGAAAACAATTATAAAGCATAACAAGCAGAATGCCATTAGTTTTTATAATCCACTATTATTTGGGCAAACCTATTCTTTTCCATAAGTATGAATGCTACTTATGACCTCTTGCTTAGCAACCCCTGTTCCTTCTCTAACACTTTGCTATCAGTACCTGTATTAATTGATTATATTTCTCTTTGCTCCTTGGGACCTGTACAGACCAGGATGTCCTTCTTCCTTCCCAACTTTCTAGTAAAATGATACTGCATAATTAAAAGTGAAACCCTACAAGCAATATCTTGTCCTAGGAACTGACAATCTACAATTAAATTACTTTGGTGAATTAAAACGGACGTTGCTTACCTGAACGTCCCTTCTCGACGCGCAGCTGGAGAATCCAAAGCTTCGGGTTGTTCAGTAGTTGATAGCCTACACTGAGTGTGTTCCTTTAAGAGATTTCTCTTCAGACACGCCCACTTGCTCAACAGAGTCCCAGTTTTGTTCACGAAGTAAGGAGCAGTAGAGCGTCAGGAAGGAATGTCCAGCAGCCAGCTGGGTGGGTTGGATTCTCCAGCTGCGCGTCGAGAAGGGACGTTCAGGTAAGCAACGTCCGTTCTCCAACGCGCAGCTTGGAGAATCCAAAGCTTCGGGATTTACCCAAGCAAGTTCATACAGGGAGGGAACCCGGCTGCTGTACGTCGTCTGAAGAGTTGCATACAGCTTGGAGCACCCGGCGGCCGAAGGATGCCTCCGCTGAGGCAAAGGAATCCACCTTGTAGTGCCTGATGAAGGGGTTCAAGGATGACCAGGTAGCCGCCCTGCATATGTCGGGAATGGAGGCATTAGTGGCCCAGGCGGCCGTAGTGGCGGCGCTCCTGGTGGAGTGTGGAAGAATTCTCTGCGGAACCGGTTTGTTCCGAGCCGAATAAGCCCGAGAGATGCAGGATTTAATCCATCTCCCAATTGTCGTGGAAGAAACCTTCCGGCCCATGGAAGCGGGAAGAAAGGAAATGAAGAGCGATTCAGATTTCCGGAACTGCTCAGTCCGCTTAATATATCGGCGCAGGGCCCGTCGGACATCTAAGAGGTGCCAGTCTGCTTCCCGAGGATGTCGAGGATCGGGGCAGAAGTCCGGAAGGATCAATTCCTGGGCTCGATGGAATGTGGAATTTACTTTAGGCAGAAATGAGGGGTCTAGTCTTAATACCACGCGATTTGCGTGGAAGATACAAAGGTCGCTTCTCACAGACAGTGCAGCTAGTTCGGATACACGGCGAGCCGAAGTAATCGCGACCAGAAAAGCCACCTTAAGAGTCAGAAAGCGGAGGCTGATTGAGGCGAGAGGCTCAAATGGAGGGTGCATGAGAGCCTGAAGGACCAGAGTCAAATCCCAGGTCGGGTATCGATGTATAACAGGGGGGCGCAGGTTGGATGCCCCTCGCAGAAAGTCGCGAATCGTCGGGTCCTGGGAGAGAGGAAGCTTTGCAGAAGTCGAAAGGACCGTACTAAGTGCAGCAACTTGGCGACGAAGAGTGTTAGGCGCAAGGTGCTTGTCCATGCCCCGCTGAAGGAATCCCAGCACTTCGGGGACAGAAGCAGACGTTGGATCCAGGTGGAATTTAGCACACCAGGAGCAGAAGGAGTTCCAGGTTGCGTTGTAAATGCGGCATGTTGACGGCCGTCTTGACGCCTGAATCGTGGGGATCGCATTGCTAGGCACGTTGGCTCGCCTTAGCAAGATCCGTTCAAGCGCCAGGCGGTCAACTGCAACCACTGCGGGTCTGGGTGCAGAATGACCCCCTGGCTGAGAACGATCCTGTCCCCTGGAATCCTCCACGGCCGTGCCACCGACAGGTCCACCAGATCCGCAAACCAGGACCTCCGAGGCCAGTGGGGTGCGACCAGAACGACGTCTGCCCTCTCTGCTATTATCCTGCGGATCAGACGAGGAAGGAGCGGTAGAGGGGGAAAGGCATAGAGGAGACCCCTGGGCCAGGGAGATGCGAGGGCGTCGACTCCCTCTGCCTGAGGGCACTGGTACCGGGTGAAGAACCTGGGTAGGTGAGTGTTGTCGCGGCTGGCAAATAGATCGATTAGAGGCGTGCCGAATCTGCAGACGATCTCGGTGAACAGATCTGGGTGAAGTCGCCACTCGGCGTGATCCAAGTGTTGTCTGCTGAGCCAGTCCGCTGTGATGTTCGCGGTCCCGGCAATGTGCTCCGCCACAAGGGATAGGACGTGCTTTTCCGCCCAGATCAGCAGTAGGGTCGTTTCCTCCATCAATGGACCCGAGCGAGTCCCCCCCTGGCGGTTCACGTGCGCCTTTGCGGTTACATTGTCCGTGCGTATCAGGACATGGTGCCCCGACACAATCCGTTGGAACCGTTGGAGGGAGAGGCGGATCGCACGGAGTTCCAACCAATTGATCCCGTTGAGGCTCTCCTCTGCTGACCACGTTCCCTGGGCAACGTGGGATAAAAGATGACCTCCCCATCCCGTCAGGCTGGCGTCCGTTGTCACTACCAGGCGCTGTAGATTCTGGAAGTAGCTGCCCTGATGTAGGCTCTGGGAGGACCACCAGAGGAGAGACCTTGAGACCTCTGGCGGGAGGAAAACTTGTGTGGGAGAGTTGCTTCTCCTGGCTCTCTGAAAGGGGAGGAGGAACCACTGGAGCTGGCGTGAATGGAACCTCGCCCAAGGGACGACAGACAGGCAGGAAATCATTTTGCCGAGCAGGCGGGACAGGAGCAGCAAGGGCACCTTCCGAGAGGAGAGGACCTGGGATGTTAATAACTGGAGACTGGAACACCGGTCCGTTGACAGGAACACCTGGCCCCTTACAGAGTCTATTAATGTCCCGAGATGGAGAATGCAAGTAGTGGGCTGCAATTGGCTCTTCGGGATGTTGAGGGAGAAGCCATGATGACGAAGGCAGCGACACAGCACTGCTAGGTCTCGGGATGCTCGGGCCGGAGAAGGGGAGAGCACTAGGATATCGTCCAAGTAGCAGTGGAGGCGGATCGGATGTTGACGTAGATGGGCCGCCACTGCTGCCAGGAGCTTTGTAAAGGTCCTTGGGGCGGAGGAGAGGCCGAAGGGCATTGCTCTGTATTGGTAATGCCTGTTGTTGTAGGCAAAGCGTAGGAAGCGACGATGGGACAGCCGTATAGGAACGTGGAGGTACGCTTCCTTCAAATCGATCGAGGTCATCCAGTCCGATGGTCGAATGGAAGCCAAAATTGATCGAAGGGACTCCATTTTGAACTGATGATATACTATAAATTCGTTCAGCCTCTTGAGGTCTAGGATGCCCCTGTGACCCCCGGATGATTTGGGGACCAGGAAGAAAATTGAATAGAAGCCGGTCCCGCGATGATGGTGGGGAACCGGTTCGATGGCTTGGATTTGAAGCAGGTGGTGGATTTCTGCCTCCATTAGCTGGCGCTTGTCCAGGTTGGGAGAAATAGGGCATTGGACAAAGTGTGAGGGAGGTCTGGAGCGGAACTCCAGGGTAAGGCCAAGACGGATTGTTTGGAGAACCCAGGCGTCCGACGTTGAGATCTCCCACTGGGGAAGAAAATGAGTCAGACGGCCGCCAATGGGAAGATGGATGTAGTCACTTCCCTCTTCGAAAGGTACGGGATCCTGTACCTCGAAATGGCCGTTTGGGTGCTGAGGCCTTTCGACCACGATCTCTGAAGGAGGATCTATCGAGGGAACGGTCGAATCCTTGAGAATAGGGCCTCGAGGAGAAGGACCCCGAAGGGCCGGAGTCGTTCCGAAAGGGCTGCCTGGTGAAGAAGGACGATGGTCTACGATCTGCCCTCTTATACGAGGATGGCATCACCTTCCGTTTATCCTTGTCCTCGACCAGGATGGGGTCTAAGGCTTCTCCAAAAAGACGGGAACCCTTATACGGAGTTGAGGCGAGGCGCCACCTAGACTTGGCATCAGCTCTCCAATTTTTAAGCCATAATAAACGGCGAGATGTAACGGAGGACACCAGGGCGCGCGAAGCAAACTTCGCGGCGTTGAGCGAGGCGTCCGCCGTATATTCGGTAGCCGCCACCAGTTTGTTGACATCTTGGCGGAGGCGTGAATCCGCAGAGGGAAGGCGCTCGTGGAGTTGACGGAGCCAAATTAAGCAGGCGCGGCTGAAGAAGGAAGCAGTGTCACAGGCTCAACTGAGTGAACTAAACTGGGACTCTGTTGAGCAAGTGGGCGTGTCTGAAGAGAAATCTCTTAAAGGAACACACTCAGTGTAGGCTATCAACTACTGAACAACCCGAAGCTTTGGATTCTCCAAGCTGCGCGTTGGAGAATGGATATTCACCCCAAGTGGACAGAAGCTCATCATAGTATATATTATTATGAACAAAGTTAATCTGAAGAAGTGTACATCCAACCAATCGCTACCCTGCTCAGCTTCTGAGTGAAGCTGGCCTCAGCCAGTTTGTCATCTGCTGAATTGTGTAAAGCTCTGCTCTATTCCAAAATAACATGATCTGAAACCATGATCAAATTATAGTCAAAATACAGTAATTTTAAAACACCAACAGCTACAGCGAATGTTTTATGGAATAAGGAAGACTATTAATCAACATTCCAGAGTAAAATTTAAGATCACAAAATTAAAGGTCTGTTCCAGAGATCTATGTACTACAGATATCAGGTAACATTAGATACTACATACTCCATGTTTGGCATTCAAAATATTGTAGAACCTTCAGGTAATTTAAAAAAAAGTTTCCGGGAAAGAAACGGGAAATGTTTACAGTAGAATTTCCTTTACTATCATTCTCAAATACCTGGTTAAGTAGCCCTGTTAGAAGATGCTCCATAGATGTACCCATATTCCACAGGTGAACCCATAGATGTTACCCATATACTTTCTCACAAAATTCTGAGCTCACTGTCAGTTCTGAAGCTTGCCCAGCCAACACATCCTATCCAGACAGGCATCATCTGTCTCCTTCAGCCTTCCCTAGTATTAAAGATAAAGCAGATTCATCCTGCCTTCAGTGGGGGATAAATCAAAGTGACTTCTGAGATGAGCCATAGAAAAATGGTTAGGGAAGGAGTTTGAGAATATGCTTCATAAACTTGTTTTGTAGCATCTCTAAATCTTGTTTTATCTCATCCTCCATATTTCTGCAGCACAGAGCATTTGAGTGTGATACCTTGTGGTGAAAGCTTTAGTAAGATTTATTAACTAGCCTCCCCTAAAATAAAAGAACTGTGAGATGCCTCTACCACTTACAAAGCTGAGGCTTAATAGGATCCAAACTATTGCTCATTCCAAGTATCTTTTCTCCAGCATCAACTGTTTGGCTAGGAAAGATGCCTTTCTGAAGACCTATGAAATTCAGATAGATAAGTATGGACTCAAAGAACCAAAAACCTGATTCACTATAAGGTAATTTTGCCACTGGTCTGCATGGACACAACATCTCTCACCCATTCATTCTTAAAGAGAAAGAAATAAGAGCATACCTCTTGCTTAGTGTCTGGCACTAAGATGATTAAGAAAAAGATTTAGATACCATCCCCTGTTCTACTTTGGCTTCACAACAGGATCATATTATAAAATCTGCTTCATTCTGCCACCACAAAAGCTCAGAGTTGACTTTAATGGCCAAGGCAGGATGCCAGCATTTGTAAGAAGCCTACTAATCTAAAGGGGAGCATCAGCAAGTGGTTTTGTATGAATTTTTTGGTCTCATACACGACCTGTGGTTTCTATGGTTTCATCCCCAAACCCCCATAACTTTAACCTTAGGCTGTCTACTGTTGACCTCACCCATTCCTAAGAGGTCTGTAAGGAGTGTGCATAAGCGCACCAATGTGCTTACCGTCCCTGTCCTACTGTCCCCATTTATTTGTATCCATTTCCTGTATTTTATGTTTATATCTTTCCTTTACTCAGGAGCTATTCTGTAATCTGCTTAACAGTTTTTGCCAAGTTGGTACATTCTCAATGGAATTTCCACTGCCCACTCAGCATAAAAAGAACAATGGACTTTAAACAAAGAACAATGGAATCAGATCTGGGAGAATAGAGAAGCTGTTGCTCTACAGATATTGCTGAAATACAGCTTTGCACAGCCCTAGACAGTATGATCAATGGTATGTAATACCGGAGTATAGAAATCGATATACTGGGGATAAAATCTCTTCACCTACTCTAAGGATCAGATTTTCTGCCTATGTTCATTATACGGTTCCATGTTGAAAATGTAGCATCACATGAAAAGTTATAGATCCCTCCCACATCTGTGTTTGTTAAGATTGCTAGAAATATTAATATATCAGAAGGAACCACGGCTGCCTAAAATATTATAAATAGCTTGAAAGAAAAGAAATTTGGCCCAGAGTAGCTTTCAGATGAACTGTTCACATTTAGAGTAATACCTCTGCTATCTATGAGAGACAAACAGGTTTTCCCATTCCCCACCCTCCCTTTTAATGCTGGTTTGAAAGTGAGTGATTTGTTAGAAACGTGACACATTTAATGCATCCACTTGGGACTAGGCCCAAATGACAAAACAGCAAGAAGCAGTTAAAAGCTTCCCGTCTGTTGTCAAAGCCCTGTAATTTGCTGCCTTTCTCCAATCAAGGACTTCATTGACAAGGCCGGTTCCACTAATGACCTCGGAAAGAGCTTTTCATTCTGCCCCTTCCTTGGCTAATCTGCTTGGGTCTTAACAGGAGCTTCCAAAGAGCAGGTGTCACCTGCCCACTTTTTCCAGAAGGAGGGCAAACAGATCTGTTTTGTTACCTCACACAGAGGCTTTGTTGGGCTGGCTAATTTCTCTTTTTTATTTATGCACATGTCCTTATCAGCCAGTGAGCATGTTCTTCTCCCTACCCTGCAAATGTTTATCTTCTCTCATCCGGTCTATTGGAACACCGAAATTAGAGGTGTAGAAAAGCTATTAATCCATCATTTCTACCCCATTTCAACATTGTTCCCCCAGGTATCTTTTTCTAATAGATTTCACTTTTAGTTCTCTGGGTGCAATTACTACTAGCTCCTTTCCCAGATCAAATTACTCTCTCTCTCTCTCTCTCTCTCTCACACACACACACACACGTTCATTTGATGCTTCATTTCAGTAAATTTGATTCCAAAAGGTGTGCTGGAAACAAGGCTGAAGCTGGTTAGCAATTTTGTTACTCTATATAATTCCTTTTCCACCTCACTGACATACAGTGCTAGATGGAAGAGATTGTTCCTAGCAGGAAGCATTACTCTCTTCCTTCTCTGGCATGATTGCCCTTGCTTTCCAACACCAAGGTGCCTTGTATAAAGGTGAAATTTGTTTCCTTTAGCAAGTACTTCCCTACCTGAGCCTAAGCTGAAATAAATCAAAACAGGGGACCTGATTGGTATAGCAACTTTCTCCTGCCTGTGAAATAAAGCATGATATACAGCCTCTCTGTTATCCTCTTCTTCTATGGCCTCTTTCTCAATAGTAGGTTAGTGATATCATTCGTCCAAGGGCTGAGGTGTCTAAAATTTATGTCAACATAAATGGCTCTGTTCTGACATCAGATCTCCAGTCAGTGATAAGGCTGGGAACGATCTCTAGCAGTGATGAAGTGTCAGTGATAAGGCCGGTGACTGGTCCAGTCCTTTCACTTTTAATCTGGGATACAGTAAGGGTAATAATCAGAGGTGGGTTTCAGCAGGTTCTGACCAGTTTTGGAGAACCGGTAGCAGAAATTTTGAGTGGTTTGGAAAACCTGTAGTAAAAATTCTGACTGGCCCCGCCCCCATCTATTCTCTGACTCCCAAGTCTCAGCTGATTGGGAGGAAATGGGGATTTTGCAGTAACTTTCCCCTGGATTGGGGAGGAAATGGAGATTTTACAGTATCCTTCCCCTGCCACGCCCACCAAGCCATGCCCACCAAGCCATGCCACACCCACCAAGCCACACCCACAGAACCGGTAGTAAAAAAATTTGAAACCCACCACTGGTAATAATGTGTGTAGATTCCCTTGGCTGTGTTTCCCTCCCCATCAAGCATCACCCCTGATATGGAAACAAAATAGCTTTACTTGGTGAAATGGGTTGGAATTGCTATGGTAGCATGCTTAGCTGATGTGGTGGAATATAGTCTGGCTTCCTAGGAAAGAGAGGCTGCTTTCCAGAGGGCCAAAAGATAGTGGAGCTTGGAAAGTTTGGCCAGCAGAAAGAGGGTAAAATGGCTCCTTCCTAGCTTTTTCCAAAATGTATCTGCAGTTATTCAAACAGTTGCTTTAGTCAGGCAAGATTCTGTCTATAGTGAAAAAACAACAAAAGGAAACTAGTCGTAAGTCACTCCACTGTCGTTCTTAGTCCTGACATCCTTAGTCCTGACATCCTTAGTCCTGAAAGGAGGTTTTAACCACCTTTCAAATTTCCTGAGTAGCTGGCATCAGCATGGATTCTGCTTCCCGCTGCACACTTTCTCCACTCCATTAGCCTGTCAGCTGGGCTATTTTAGGACATAATCTTTCAAATGATCACCATACCTCCCCCCACAATCACTAGCATAGTAGAAAGGCTGTGGTGTGAAACAGCAGGTGAACTTTCTTCTGTTTCATCCCGTGTCTCTCCACTAGGATGTTCCAATATCCTTGCCTACCAAAAATTCTCCTCTTGGGGAGGCTTCTTGTAATGAAAGATTTGATCACTAAAAAAATTGGTTTGGACAGGTATGTAGACTTTATGGCAACAGCTTGTCTGTCTGGTGCAAAGGCTATGGACATCACAAGTCATCTAGGTATGTTTGTAGTGTAGAGTACTGGGGGAGGACAATTGTGGTGCACATTGGCACCACTGATATTAAGTCTAAGATTTCTCAAGTAGTATTCTCAAAAATGCTTTTCTGTTTATCAGAAAAGTCAGGTATGGGAGAAACAGGGTTGTCAATTCTTGGATGAAATGGTGGTACCAGCAGAGATGGGTTTCAGCAGGTTCTGATCAGTTCTGGAGAACCGGTAGCGGAAATTTTGAGTAGTTCGGAGAACCGGTAGTAAAGATTTTCACTGGCCCCACCCCTATCTATTCTCTACCTCCCAAGTCCCAGCTGATCGGGAGGAAATGGGGATTTTGCAGTAACCTTCCCCTGGATTGGGGAGGGAATGGAGATTTTACAGTATCCTTCTCCTGGAGTGGGAATGGAGATGTTACAGTATCCTTCTCCTGCCACGCCCATCAAACCACGCCCACCAAGCCATGCCATGCCCACCAAGCCACACCCACAGAACCAGTAGTAAAAAATGTTGAAACCCACCACTGGGTACCAGGATGGGGGTTCAAGTTTATTAGAAAAACATTCCAGGGCATGCCAGCTCTGTAGGCCTCTGGTGCTTAACAATAAAAAGGTTACAAAGCAGCTTTTATACTGAACTTGGTGGGACAGTCAATCAGAAGTTTCAACTAGTACTTCCTATATGAATATTCCTCTGGTTTGGGAATACTCATCCCTTAAGGATAAATGGAAAAGATTTGGGAGAGTGGGTCCTAAAGGAAATAAATATATCCATAATGACCAGTGCGTGGTAGGAAAGTAATACTGGACTAAGGGAATAACAGATGGGTTAGCAGAAGGAACTGTAGGAACAGAATTATATACTAGTGCCTGTATGTTAATGATAGAAATCTGAGTAAAAATGAGAATATTTATTAAGAATAATGAAAGTTTTCTAGATACAAGCTACAGAAAGAATAGGGATGAGTCCACGGGGTAGCATTCTGTTACAGAGGAGATCCAATCAAATAGAAGGTATGGAAAAACAAGGCAACTGATAAGATTGGAAGACAGAATGCAATAGTTGAGTTTATTTAGATGAAAGATGTTTAGGAAGCAACTTGAATTTATAAGTATGCATAGTAAAGAAAGTGGTAGTTTTCTCCATCTCCCCTAATAATAGAACACCCAAGGATTAAATAATTGGCCACCCAATGAAATTAACTAGTAGAAGATTTAACACTTATAAGAGGAAATGTTTTTTTCATATGGCAAATCATCAACCTGTGGCATATAATGCCCAAAAAACAAGTTCCAAGAGAATTTTATCAATGACTGAGGTTGATGACTCAGAGTTAAGGGGCTCTCTATAATAGGAATATTGATGCCACAATGTAACAGCTGCTTTGATGTCTTATTTGTGGGTTTCCTACATGCAACTGGTAAACTACTGTAGCCTCAGCCTGTTTGAATGGAGCTGTTCTCATGGTTTTGTCACAGGTATTGTGGTTCATTCATATAAGTGTTGTGTCAAGAATAATATTCTTTTAAAACAATCCATATAAAGGTAAACTTAAATTGGTCCCAGAGCAGGTTGGTGATGGGACAAAGGAAACATCAGCAGGACATGTCTGTTAAAAAAGTTAGTATGAAACTTTTGGGTTGTCAGTTAGCAGTGTCAGGATGAAACACCCTCCCCGTTTGAGGACATTTTCCATAATGAAACTTTGTTATTTGTCCTAGTGCCTCAATAAAACTTCCTCTGAAGAGATCTTAATGCATTTCTGTTATTCCCTTGAGTATCTTATAAAAGCACTTCTAGTCCCCAATTTTGACAATTTTGTAAACCGTATTCTTCATTGCTTTGATTAGAAGAGCTACTTTCTGCACCATCGTTGGAAACAAGCAAATAAAGCAGCAATAAACCATGTCGTGTCTAACATCCCCAAATCACTGATATTTTAGCAACAAAGTAGTAGAATTTTTGGTAATGTAATGTTTGTGTCAAATAGAAAAATGGAAATGTGAAACATCTGGACTGTGAAATACTTCAGCTTCCATCTTTAAATCCTATTATTCTTTCACGTTCATCAAGTGGCCAAAATGTGGCGGTGCCAGTTTCCAGAAATGCTACCAAATAACTGGAAGTTGTTCAGTGATCTGCTAATAGTCAGGAGACTAAGTCACAAATCCCAACTTTTATAGTAAAGGGTGAACAATAGGGGGTAGGTCTATTAGGCTTGTGATGGGCAAAAATACCGGTAGTAAATTATTTTGGCAGGAAAGCAAGGACTGCAGTCAGTTTTGTGATGATGCAAAATGGATTGAAAATTGTGTTTCTGGGCAGCACTTGGAATTTCTGGGGCTTGGTAAGAATGTCTTCTTT